TGATGACTATTTTTTTTTTAATGAAAGCTAGTTGTTAATATGATAAGAAACAATTTAAAATAGATGATATGATTGTAAAATAGAATTTGATTTGTGGGCAAAGTTTGTTCAAGATCATACTGGCATTTGATAAGATTTTATCAAGAAAACAATAATCGTGATAGAAGATATATGGACATAAAAAAACTAAAGTACGTAACACTTTTAATTAATTAATTAATTGTATAAATAATTGGAAGTGGTTCATTATATGTGTTTTATATATACAAGAAAACCCGAAATATCTCATATTTAAATATGACTCTCCGAAATTTCTAAATTTGATGGAAAAATATTTTAAGAATGTAGTTGCTATGGTTGAATATATATTTTTTGGTCAACTAAAGATGAAAGTAATGAACAATTTGTGAGTGCTGAAAATTTGATTTTAGACTCACCAATGGATGCCAGTGATAATTATGTAAATATTGAAAAAGAACCAAACATACAAAATAAAGATAAAAAAAATGAAAAGTGATGAGAAGAAAAGTAGACTTGATAGACTTCAATCATTCGTAGCAATTAATTAATTGTAATATAATCAATCACAACTTGTAAAAGAGAATGACATACCTAAATTGCAAGATTGTCTGAAAATACTGAAAGATATGCCTAAAATAGTACATTCGAGTGATGTTTATGATTTGGCATTACGAATACATTTCAATAAACAACAAAGTGAAGTATTTATCTATCTTATGGAAAATGAACGTGAAGTTGTTATGAGTTGGTTGACAAAATTTTATTTTAGAATCTGAAATACTTCAAATGAAATAATAATATATATGTGTATATATTTTGAATAATTTTGTTTTATTGACAATTCATTGAATGTGACTAGTTGTTTATTATTATTATTATTTTGTCAAATAAAATTTTGTTTGTAGATGTATCAACAACAATCTTTGTGGAACTATTTCTTTGTATTTATGTTTATTTAAATATTTGCTCATTGATTATTTATATATTGCACATGTGTGTGTGTTTTTTTTATTATAAATTTTTAATTGATTTTTTTTAATAGTCATTAGATATTGTGTAGTATTTATATCATATGTACAAGATAAATAAAAATTTTAACATTAGATCGGATGAAAATGAAGAAAAATATGATATTATTAATAAACATAGATAATCACTGTGTATTGTACTATTTGATATATTTCCATAAAGAAAAAAAAAGAGATATAACATCGTATTTTTTTTAACATGTTTGCATTGAAGAGATGAAACACGGACAATATGAACTTTTTTGATCAATTATGAATGAGAAAGCATGTATTTTACAAGTTAGCATATTACATAAATATGAGTTTGGATCTAAACCAACTCGAAATGACAATCTACATGAATATGTGGCTATTTCTTTTTGTAAATAGTTGAATATGCTTTGTCAGGGAGAGAGCTGGAAGAAATATTTCAAAATTCTAGAGAAATAATATCCATGCATAGTCATAGAGTTTTTTAAGTTTCTCGACGTTTAGGCATTGAAGTAATTAGACATATTTATAATAATTTCAAATATGCTCAAAAATATTTCAGAAATGATAGTCGTTATTGGACATATTTTCAAAATTGCATTGGGGGTAATAGATAAGACTCACATTGCGATTCATTTGTCTAGTGATAAGAAAACGCCATAAATCTGTTGATCGAAAGAGCATAATAACTATACATTTTTTTTTATATATGTGATCTTAATATGTGCTTTGTTTTTAGATTGGTCGGTTACGAAGGGTCATTCATGATACTAGATTTTTCTATGAAACTCTTCGTAATTTGAAATATAAATTTTCTTTTCCACCTAAGGGTACATAATATTTTTACTAACTATTTTTTTTTAATATTTTATTAAGTTTATTGTTTTTTTTAAAAAAAAAACAAAAACTTGTACAAAGCTATTTTATTTATATATATATTTTTTTGTAGGTAAGTATTATCTAGTTGATTTGAAATATTCTACATTTAATCCTTTTTTAGAACCATACCAAAATACTATATATTACTTTTAGAATTTAGGTTGGCTCTGGAACTTCAATCTCAAAATGAATGCATTAATTTTTATCACTCATGCAAATAATCATTAAAAGGGTTTTTGGAATTTGCAAAAAAGATATTTCAAAATATGCATTGTTTTGATCTTCAAGATCAATTTAATATTATATGGATTCGATTTGCTTTAAATAAGAATGAAATATGCTTGAGATGTTTGAAGATCTCGGGGAGATAATAGAGATTGGACGTAGCTAAAAAAACTTTGTGATGCTAAAAATTAGATGTGACAATTCGGATTAGTCGATTTTTTTTCGTGCCGCCCGGCTTAACCCGGCCCAATTCTGAAATGGGCCAGACAGACATGGTATGGTTTCAAACCGGACCTAAAAGGTTGAACCTGAGCACGGCACGATTTAAAACCGAGTCTACTTTTCTTTTTCTACAATATGTTGAAATATTAAATTAAATTTATTGATGATCCATATATTCATCCATATTAAATCAATTCAAACAGAAAACTTGTATGTATGCATTTAAAAACTACTGTCCGAATTTATGGTCTAATTTTGCAATTCTTGGCCAACATCAATATATTAGTTTTTTGTTGCTTTTTTAAATATATTCTGAAAAAGAAAAAACTTTTATTTCTATATGTTTAACCGGGTGTCCAATTGAACCAAGAACCTTCATAAAAAAAAAAAAAAAAAAAAAAAAGAGCACCTATTTTTAAATTAGAACCAATCACACCGGATAAAATTTAAAAATAATTCTACTCTACAAGTGTATCTAAGTTTAATTCATCACCAAAAAAAATAAAAATCTATTAAGATTTATCAACACATATCACTATTGCATCACCACAAAAATAAAAATCACTCCATAAATGCTAAAAATTACATGTCGAAACTATATAAAATAAAATAAAATCAAATACTTAGAAGATTATAGCAGTACGTCAGTCTCGCACCAATGAAAGTATATTACCAACTTTTTTTTTTATCGGATGCCCACAATATTGTATTTTTTGATTTATTTTTAATTTTCATTATACATAATAACAAACATCTACAAAAAGAATTATTGGATATTTAATTTGAAATACTGAAACAAATTTAAAATTCACTACTATATAAAAATAACTTCAACAATTAACAAATAATCATTAAATAAAAATTAAAAACCATCAACAACACACATAATTCTAGGACGTACGTGAAACTTGTTTAATCCATTCACAATCTTTTTGAGCCAAATAGTCATTAAAAATGACAATTTGAGCTTCATTCTCAACCTATGTAATTAGAAAAACACTTAGAAAAATTAATATCGGAACAACATAATATAAAATTTTCAAAAATTAAATAGTTGAGAATTGATGTGTGCAATTCAATAAAAAGGATAACAATCATTGCCAAATAAGAATTAAAATTCGTCAATAATCATACATTATTATGCAATATCATTTGATTTTATCATTGGGATATGTCATTTGTACCATGGCCTAAAACATCATCGATATAATTTTGAAATTCTTCAATAGCTTCCTCAATATCGAAAAAATATCAACAATATAAAAAAAGATTAATGAAAAATTATAACCCTGAAAAGCTTCAACATTCTCACTTTTAAGTAAGTTACAAAATCGGTCAATAATACAATCACTACAGCTAAATGTTGATTTGAAGCAACTGTTGATAAAGAAGACAATGCTTCCACCAATATTGAAGTATATCTAGGTCTTCGGTCCTATTAATCGTCTTTTCTTCTAAATAGACTTCCAACTCCGATTTTGCACTTCTAAATCAAATTTACTACTTGAATCGAACTCTTGCAACAAATAAGTAGTTAAATAAAATATACTATTTAAAAATAAAATAAAATTTAATTTCAATATATAATTTTTTCATACAAACTATTTTCATGATTAACTAGAAGTTAATAAAAAAGATGACACACCATAAATTATTTATATAATATACTTTTTAAAAGTTACCAAGTATGTTTACTTGTAAGATTTTACCTATGTTTTACTATTACAATTTTTTTTTTTCTAAAAACATCAAATCAAACATTTAATTTTTATTTATTTTATTATATTAAAATATAATTTTAGATTCAAAATATCACATCAATAAATATTTATATTATATCAAATAACTATTTCAATTCAAAATTTTACTATTCAAAGTAAAAATCAAAATCAAAATCAAAACTTCAAAAGTAAACACACAAAATTAATTATAGTACTCCCTCTGTCCCACTGACACTATTTCCATTTTTGTCTGTCTCATAACAATTGACACATTTCTATTTTTGGTAAAAATTATTACACCAAAACATATTTAACAAATATAAATCAACTTAATTAACTATATAACATACAACATCATAAATGACGTAGGACCACTCAAAACCCTTTTATTTCTATATCTCTCCTCAAAAAAATAAATATTTTATCTATATTTAAAATTACACATCTTTTATAAAATTAATTTATGTTAATTATAAATAAACAAAAATATTTTTTTATTTACTTGTATTATAGAAGATTTTATTCTCTACAAAATAATATACTTTAATTGCTATATAATTTTTAAATATTTAAATATATATTTTAATTTTTTTAATCATATATATTAAATTTACTTTAAAATTATAAATATTATTAATTATATAAAAATTAATATAATAATATTATAACTAATTATTATTAATTAATTAAATATTTTCACGTTAAGTACCCTGATCAAAGGTTAATTTCGGCTGGACGAGGGAGTATAAATCAACAATAACAAAATCAAACCTCAAATATCTACACCGAACGGGTCCCAATTGCCACGTGTCGAAATCCAAGATTTCTGAAAACGTAATATGGGCCCTGCAACAGTTCTACTTCTTCCTTCTTCCTCACGAGGATACCTCGTGAAACAAAAAAAATATATATACTGAAATTTCGTTTGGAATTCAAAAAAAATTGCAATCTGTATTTCAAAAAAAAAATTGAATTGAATCTTTTCGTTATGATATTCCTTTCTCTGCAAGTTTCTGTCACTAACCCACTATTTTGCTGTTTTTCGCATTTTTTTTATTTAATAATGGAATAATTCGGTGTTCTTCTTGAGTACCATGTTTGAACCGATTTTTCAATTAGTCGATTCGCTCGCATTCGTGGCTTCTCCTCAGATCCGAAAATTTCTCCAGTCTGTTTTTCGATTCGCCATTCTCCCATACTGAATGCCGTAGTTTCGTGTGTTTTGTTTTACCCATCGCGTTGATTGAAGGAATCGGATTGGCAGAGGGAGATTTTGGAGAATTTATAGTGTTGAGGTTGATTTTCTTCCTGCGAGTTTGTTACCATAGGTGAAGCGTTTCATGTTGCTATTGTTGTTGACGATTGTCGATTGAAATTGATTCTATTCTCTGGTTTTTGGCAATGTGGATTGAATAGATCTGATTTAGCCATCTTTGGAAAACTTTGTTGGTACTGAATCAGGGGTTTCAGGCCTGGTTGGTTCAGAATTTTAGGGTTTCTGATTTCGATTCGATTGGGGATTCGTTTTGCGCAATTGGATTGATTATTTTGCTACTAAGCTTTCTAGGGAAGGAAATTGCGATTTCAGGCCCGGTTGATCTACAATTTAGGGCTTCTGATTTCGATAAATCTAGCCTCCGTTGAAGAGATAACCATCTGGAATTTACAGTCCAAGGAATTTGATTTTCTGATCAATCTGAAGGGAGAGGACGATGCTAAAACCTCAATTGAATTGAATGGTGTGCTAAATTAGGGTTCTTCATGTTTTAGGATCATCAATTTTCCTTTGAATAGAAGCAGGTGGCCAAAACTTACATTTGTAATGGGCTGTGCCTGCTCAAAAGGGGTGAATGATGAGATCAAAGGCAAGAAGAAGGAGAAGGGATTGAGGAAATCTTCAAAACGACTGGTAGCTTCCTCCAGGGAGGATGATGTTACAGTGGAGGTCGACAATGGAGGCAGTGATGCAACCACCAGGCTAATATCAACAGAGCCTGTTGATACTGGCTCTACCTCAACTCCATGGGACGAGGGAAACAAGAAGCCGGCAATTTTTGAGAACGGCGCAGCGTTACAGATGCAAAGTCGGGCATCCGTGGAGCCTGTCCACCAGAAAATAGGACAGCCTCCGATCTGTAGGGTGTTTACTGTCCAGAATGGGGTGGATGGGACTCAAGTGGTCGCTGGATGGCCGGCGTGGCTAACATCTGTGGCCGGGGAAGCTATCAGAGGATGGATACCTCGAAAGGCAGAATCTTTCGAGAAATTGGATAAGGTTTACGATTCGTTGGTTTTTGTTTCATGTCTTTTGCTTAGAGATTTTGGCTTATGATGCTCTGTTACATATGATTAATTTTTCATAGTTGGATTTGTTATTTTTGTTGTTCTTGTTGTTTCTTTATAGTGCTGTTGGTTGAACTGTTCTTGTGTTTTCTTCCGCAGATCGGTCAAGGGACTTACAGCAGCGTATTCAGGGCTCGTGATCTAGAAGCTAGAAAGATCGTCGCCCTGAAAAAGGTGCGGTTTGTGAACATGGATCCAGAAAGCGTTCGTTTCATGGCCAGGGAAATCCTTATCCTACGAAGGCTAGATCACCCAAATGTTATGAAGCTCGAAGGCCTTGTTACTTCCCGAGTATCGGGCAATTTATACCTCGTATTTGAATACATGGAACATGATCTCTCGGGGCTTCTAGCCTCGCCCATAGTTAAATTCACAGAACCTCAGGTATGTCATTCGACACATTTATTTCAATGAAATTCAACTATTGAATCTAGAGCTGACAATGAGTCGTTTCGTGTCGGATTCGTGTATAGATGAATACTTTAAACGGGTGACCTTAACCCGATGCGTTTATTATCGTATTTGATTCGTGTTGATTCATTTATTATCGTATGGAGTTCGTTTTGATTCATATAGATAATTAAGTCGAAATTTTTAATTTAAATTTAATAATTTTTTGTCGTGGTGTCATATTTATTGGTTTTAGTGTGATGTGTATAATGAATTTGGTTGAATTATTCAAAATTGATCTTAATTTAAATTAATATGTGGGCTAATTATTAAATTAGATTTATTTTACATATATAATAAATATATTAATTAATATTGATATATTATAATAGGGTTATTGTGTCAGATTCGAGTTGAGAGGCTCAATCCTAATCTGACTCGTTTACCATCATTTTGAGTTCGTGTCAACCCGTATACATAATCGGATTGAAATTCTTGACTCAAACCTAATTATTTTGTGTCGGGTTCATGTCGAGTTGTCGTGTCGTATCAGTTTTAGTCGGTTCTAATTGAATCTACGAAGATCTCATTGTTGTTAGCTCGTTTGCAGATAAAGTGCTTCGTGCAACAGCTGTTCCGGGGACTTGAACACTGTCACAGTCAAGGAGTACTACATCGTGATATCAAGGGTTCAAATCTTCTGATCAACAAGAATGGGAATCTGAAGATTGGCGATTTTGGGCTGGCGACTTTTTTCCACACCAATCAAAAACAGCACCTGACTAGCCGCGTCGTGACATTGTGGTATCGACCTCCCGAGCTTTTGCTTGGGGCTACAGATTATGGAGAAGCTGTTGATTTGTGGAGTTCGGGTTGCATTCTTGCTGAATTGTTTGCAGGAAAACCAATCATGCCTGGAAGAACAGAGGTCTCTTTGCACCTGAATTTCAGATTTTCTTAGCAATTATAACATTTAGGTTTTCGACGTGAACTGATCAAAATTCTTTTATGTAGGTAGAGCAACTGCACAAGATCTTCAAGCTTTGCGGTTCGCCCTCAGAAGAGTACTGGAAAAAATCAAAGCTACCGCACGCAACGATCTTCAAACCACAACATCCATACAAGCGAACTGTGGCCGAGACATTCAAAAACTTTCCGCCAGAAGCGTTAAAGCTTCTGGAATCGCTGCTGGCATTTGAACCCGAGCGGAGAGGAACGACGACAGCTGCGCTACGTAGTGAGGTAAAACTAATATTTCTCTCAGGTTACACTTTCCGACATCTTTCGTAAACTGTGTCTAAATATGATGCATCGTAGAACAGTTCTTCACAACTAAACCGCTACCCTGTGATCCATCTTCTCTGCCGAAATACCCTCCGAGCAAAGAGTTTGACGCCAAAATGCGAGATGAAGCAAGGCGGTATGTTTATTTCTTTTGTGTTGTTTGAGAAAAAACAATGGAGCTGTTTTCGGGCTTGTTACAATGTCGTCTTGTTGTGATTCAGACGGAAACCAGCCGGCGGAGGAGGCGGGATCCAAAATTCAAGAAAAGCGCCGCAAGAATCCAAAGCAGTCCCTGCACCTGAAGCTAATGCTGAACTACAAGCTTCGATACAGGTATATATCTTTTCTAGCTTTAAACGAATCGAGTAGTTTGTGAGTTGAGCTTGATCTAAAAAATTATTTCTTTTATAAACAAGCCAAGCTCGAGCTCGTAAGTGATAATATATTTATATTATTATATATTAATATAATATATAATTTTTTAGATCATAATTTACATTTATTATTAAAATTTGAATATTTTATTACAAAAAATTATAAATAAAATTAAACATACTAAATTTATATATTAAAAAATATATAGAATATGTATAAAATTCAAGCCTTCGAGCTCGAGTTCGATCCTACGAGTCAAGTTCAAGCTTGAATTTGAGTCTGACGAGCAGAGTTCGAGCCACTATTTTAGTTCGAATTTTTAACGAGCCAAGCCTGTACTGTTAACAAATTTGAGTCGAGCTCAAATAGCCGATATTCGAGCTCGCTCGGCTCGTTTAACAGTTCTAATCTTTTCTTGAGGGGCGTAAGGTCGAGCTTCTCCTGCACCTGTTAACCCGGCCTTTTGTTGTATATAGAGATGGAAAGGACGACAGGCGAACCCCACGAGCAACAGCGATGTTTACAACACCCAAGAAGATAGTGGTTCCGGTTTCCCAATCGAACCTTCCGGAGCATCCTCACAAAGTGATCGGAATTCCTTGCTCGTTGCCGACGAAGGGCTTCACAGTTCTTACAGGGAGCTAAAGCAACAGAGATCCTTTAAGCCCCGAGCCGTAGCTGCTCACTTATCCAGATTCTCGAATTCAGTCGCAGCAGCTCATAGCAGTTCGCAGCTTGATTTTAGCAGAGACAGTAGCCTGAATCCGTTATACGATCGGGTGAATGAATCTAAGCCGTCCAACAGGTTCCCGGGGAAGCAAGATCCATCGCTCAACAATAATGGCCACATACCTAATCCTGAGGTAACAATTTCATGGCTTGATAATCATCGAATATTTTTTTTGAGTAGTTTTTGGACAATCGGGGAAACAATATTAGTCGAACATCTGTGTATGAATGCAGGTGTATGGCACACAAGAATCGCGAATACACTATTCGGGCCCTTTACTGCCTCCGGACGGGAGCGTGGAAGAGATGCTGAAGGAGCACGAAAAACAGATCCAAATAGCTGTTAGAAAAGCTCGGGAGAAGAGCAAGATGCGGAAAGGGCAGATCGACAATGGACAAACGGATTCACTCCTAGGCGGTTGATAAACATCGATTCTCTCTCGTGTCAGCACGAACGAGCTCATATGATGAATGTCGACCGTGGTGGCAGCCGGATTGTCGATCGACCCCCCCGGCCGGGTGAGTGTTTTTGAGGCTGAGGGAGGGATTTTTTTGGATGAGATTTTGTTGAGGCTGATATATATATATTGATGGATGATGTACATACAGCAGGATTTCGTAAAATGTAAATCCTTGTTTTTTTTTGTTCATTATATGAAGGTCAGGTCCAGATTGTTAATGTTTGTTCTATAAAATCGAAGTCGAAATTGAAATCCAAATAGAAATTAGGTCCTTTCTTATTAGAGTTCATGCATCGAATGCAATGAATTTTGTTCACTAAATGTTTTAATTTTTATGTGGTTTTTTCTAAAAAATACTATCACATATGTTTATTTGGCTTTTTTTATTTGAAATTAGAATATGATTGTTTTGTAAAAATATAAAAAGAATAAAAAATCTATTTTTATTAAGAATCATATTAAATGAATAGTACTTTCGTTGATAGCAGGGGAACTAGCTTTCAAATTCCGACAAAAGAAAAAAAAAATAGTCAAAAATAATGTGCTTAAAATTGAAAATTTTAATATAATTATATAAATTTTATTATTTTTTATTAAAAATATTAAATATTAAATATTAAAAAACAAATTAGTAAATTATATAATATTTTTTATTTTTTATACGAGAAAAAAGAACAAATTATTAAAAATTAATATTATATTGATTTATAGTAAAAGAAAAAGACAAAATTTATAGAAAAGTAATGACGTTTATTTAATATATTGAAATATGTAAAGATATTAATTATATTAGATAGATAGTATAATTATTAAATTATAAAATAATATTGTTTTATGAAACGGATAAAAATGAATTATAGTATCTTCTTGAGAGACGAAAATAGTATATTTTTGGGGGTTGGGGACCGGTGACCCCCAAACCCTCAAAACTAATGGGGACGTATAAGATGAAAGAAAATATAAAATAGAAATATAATTTTGTATTTAAAATAAAAAATAAATACACTAAGGGGTTGTTTGGTCCGTAGAATTTGGTGGGATTCCACGGGATTTAGATTTTAAAATTCTAATGAATTCATGTTTGGTTATAAAATTGACGATGAATTTTAAGTGTATGGGATTTTAAAATCCTGCAGAATTTTTCAATAACAGTGTACCCCATGTTACTTTAAAATCCTATGTCATTGCATTTTACATTTACTATTATACCATTCCATAAAAATAAAATCATATTTCTTTTTTTTTTTCTAATATTAAATGTTTAAATTATATTTTATTGGTTTTATAAAATATAATATTATATTTAAGCATAATACTACAAATTATATATTTATTTATAATTATTAATGTTATTTATATATTTAATTATTTTACTAATGATAATTTAAATAAATTAATAATTTAAAATATCAATTAATAATTTAAATTTATTTTTACTAGTGTATTAATTTTGTATTTTTAGTTTAAAGTGTTTTTTTATATTAAATATGAAAAAGAATGTCGATAGTATAAAAAATAATTAAATTGTCATATTTTTAAGTGTATAGGTTATATATTACAGTATATATTTTGTATGAATATATATATTATAATTTTTATTATTAATCGGAAATCGTATTAAATTTTTTTAAATTAGAATACACTAAATACAGTAAAAATAAAGTTTACGAAAAAAAATGTAAAGTTTAATTTATTACAATAAATAAAACTCGTGAAGGATAATTACGTCATTTAAAATATCAAAAATCAAAATTCTTGAACCAAACAGCTCCAATGATAGGATTTCAAATCCTAAATACAATAAATTCTATCACATATAAATTCTACTGCAAATCTCAATCCCATTAAAAAAGTGCTTAAACCAAACAACCCCTAATTAAAAATATTTCACAAATTTTCATACTATCATTATAAAACCACATAAAATTATAAAAACTAGACAAACTCATATCAGATTTATTGATCCAAAGAAAAACTTACCAAATAGTAGTATTTGATATCCACCAAGAAATTGGTTAGATTGCTTCATACCAAATCCATTCTTGCAATTTGTTGCCATGTCTTGATCATCATCATTCTTTCACATACCTTATTCACTACTCCTCACACAACAAAGGATTTCTTTCTTTCTCAAAAAAACTTAAAAGTGTTCTTCCTTTGCTATAGATAGAAATCAAGAAATGAGGTCTACACCATACAACCCTAAACTCCTCCTCATCTTTGTGACCATAGTTTCTTTCTTCCTCTTCATCATAAGATCAAATCTCCCCCCTTCCAACCCTACATTAATCCCTTTATCGCGCTCATCCTCGACGACACCAACTTGTAATAAAATCCCGACAAGTATATCCGAGGCGTTGATCTACTATTCGACGTCCACGATCACACCCCAACAAACCCTCAAAGAAATCGCGTTCACGGCAAGAATCTTGGACGACAAGTCCCCATGCAACTTCCTCGTATTCGGGTTGGGCCACGATAACCTCATGTGGCGCGCGCTCAACCATGGCGGGCGCACGGTCTTTTTAGAAGAGGATCGAGCGTGGATTGGCCAAGTCAAGAAAAGATTCCCGGGATTAGAAGCCCATCACGTTGTGTACGATACTAAAGTGAGCGAGGCTAATGAGTTGATGCAAGCGGGAAAAGGGCACGAATGCACGGCCATAATCGATTCAAGATACTCGATGTGCCAATTGGCCTTGAGGGGTCTCCCGGGATACATCTACGACACACAATGGGATGTGATCATGGTCGATGCCCCCACGGGGTACCACGAGGAGGCCCCCGGCCGTATGGCCGCCATCTACACGGCCGGAATGATGGCTAGGAACCGTGAAGATGGGGGTGCAAAAACTCATATATTTGTTCATGACATAAATAGAGATATTGAAGATAGATTTTCAAGAGAATTTCTTTGTGAAGGATACATGAGAAAACAAGTGGAAAGATTGAGACACTTTGTTGTGCCTAGCCACAAGAATGATTTGGACAAACCATTTTGTCCTTTGATGGGAAATTTGTAGAAACTTGTAATTTTTTGTTTGTACCAAGAATTCGAATCGATCTCTTGGATGGTAGTGTGGTGTTCCCATGTAAATATTTGCAATTTTTTTTTATTTATTTAAAAAATATTTTGTTTTTTTATTTTAAATTTTAGTTTAAAAGGCAATTGAATGTAATATCATTGAAGATAAAATTACATGTTTTTAGAGGTAGATAGCAAAGAAGCTGGAAAAGAAATCTTAAAAGGAAACATATAGCATTTGTGTGTATAATGTGAGAAACATAATATAGTTAAATTACAATGAAATATAAAGAGTAGCATTTTTATTTTTTGAGCCGCTAGCTACTCTTTAAAAGTGTGTACTGAGTAAACTCATGCTTCTAAATCTTGTTTGTCACGCATAATTCGTCTAATATAACTTATTTTACTTGTTTAATTTGCTGGCCAAATTAATAACATTTGATAACTAAAGTTTTAACAATAGAGACTCTTCAAATCTTTGGATTTGATTTAAATTTTATATTTGATAAAATTTCTTTTAAAAAACTATCAAAAAATGCAAAATTTGTTCAAATAATATGTTATAGATACCCAGGTTTGGATTTTGAGTTAACTAAGAATCATTAGACAATCAGTAACAAACATGAGTTAAGGTAGTATTAATCTATAATATCTCATGTAATCAACCATAAATGACAAAAAATAATTTGAAATTTTCAGCTGATTATAAAAAGAAGTAACACATATATATTATTTTGCTCAGTTAGATTTATTTTTTTATTTTTCATTTGAGTTGAAAGTGTTCCAAAAAGAAGAATAACACCATCCAAGAGGGGAAGTAAAACTAGTTCTTTCCAATTTTTAATGATCAATTAGATTGTAAAATAAATGTTGAAAATAACAAAATGATTAGAAAAAATAAATAAATTCTCCGTCTAAACTAATTATACCACAATGTTTGACCATAGAAACTAAAAAATAATAGTATTTTAATGTAAAATAGAGCAAGTAAAAAATAAAATGATGATATCATAAAAAAATTTATTAAATAGTTAATAATAAATAATAGGATAAAGTAGAAAAAGAGTGAAAATTTGATTTGTTAAATTTTAAATAATGAATTTGTCGATGAATAAAATTGTTTATTATAAATAAATTGTTAATAAATTTAGCCAAAAAAAAAAAGACAACATAAGTATCCGGAGAGAATATTATATTTGTCCATTTTAAACACTTACCAAACGACAATGCACATCTCCCATTGTCTACGCGGATCCGATCATGTGCTGATCACTTAACAATTTAATTATATTAATTTAATTTACTAATTATATATATTAATTTTAAATGATCATAACAATCACTTAACAATTTAATTATATTAATTTAATTTACTAATTATATATATTAATTTTAAATGATCAGAACAAGTGTTAGAAATTTTAATTTTAGCATCTGTTGTATACAAGTTGATTTTTCACCATCAATCTACACTTAAAACTATGGATCGAATTTACCAACTTGTCTTTTAAAATAATCTTGACAGTTAGATTATTCATAGTTCTTTTCCAACAAAATAGTAGGCGTTACAATAATAGATGTGATTTGATTAGTACGGGTAAACGGGTCGGGTTGACTTGAATCTGATCCATTTAATTAAATGGGTGATTTTTTTATTAATTGGGTCAACTTGAAACCTGTATAACATGTTTAAATCTAAAAATTTTAAAGTATATTTAAAATTACAATTTCTACTAACAAAATTTTCAAATGCATAACAGTACACAACACAATCCTTTATATATAAATAAATAAATAAATATTTAAAAAATGTGATTTGAAAACAATCGACAACAAATATTTAAACATACATGTATCGCAAAAACTCGAACCTTAATTTCCTGTTGTAGTTCGCCAGAATCAGTTCGACATGAAAAAACACTGCAAACACACACAGTAATGTTACAGCCGATGATGTAAGTAAGTATTAACCCCAACAATAAATAAAACAAATCAAATGTTCTAAATACCAAAGGTAGGGGGGGGGACACATTGCAGCAACCAAAATTTCGCTCGGCTCTGTCGATGGCATCAACAATGCAGTATCAGACCAGCTTGTCCTAACCATGGGGCCGGCATTTCAAAGAATTTTGGCCAAAATCGCACAGTTTCTACAGGTAGAAATCTTGATTGTAAGGACTGACCGAAAAAGGGGTTATATTCCTGTTTTAGCTCGCTTCATTCCCGTGCTATTAAATGGAGACATGCTGGGACTCATGCTCGGGCTTTCTTCCCTAAACGTGCCATTTAGCATAGCCAATTCTCTTAGCTGTTGCTTCTTGTAAGCATCCATGGACTCGTCCTGCGCCAAGAAACGGGAAAAGTTAAGTTTGATTTTGCATTGCCACTTTAAAATCAGACGATTCACAGTTGACAAAAAAGCATTCGCCGTATCTACAAATACAGAACAACGAGCAGCATATGCTATCGAAACTTTACCACTGGCTTTAGAAGGTTTTCAAGTACTGCCACAGCATGATCTATCCGTCCATCGATTATATCCTCTGGGAACTCGGCTTCCACCAATAAGTGTAGCAGCTCATTTAGGTGCTCGTATCCAGGTTTATCTTTTAGTTTATCTTCCTAAATATATAAAGGAACAACCATAAAAAAGAAAGTATTGAAAATGATCACCTCTCAATACCGCTAATGAAATTCACAGTGTACGGCAAAAATGATTCTCTTTGATTAATGTGTCTCTCTAAAACTTACTGTAACAGTGCCTAGCTCATTCATGTCAAATGAATATGTTATACAAAAAACACAGTACCTTGACTGAATCCTTAATGGAGCCTCGACCCCTAATATATATCCGGCATTCTGTCATTGCTTCAACTCTTTTTAGAGAGTTTCCACGTGGTCCTAAAATTCTGCCGACAAAGTTGTACTGCATAGATTCCAGGTCAGAAATGTGTTGCTTGAGTATGAATACCATAAATATAAACCCCTTTTTCTGCTGAAGATACCTTAACTTACATTTGGGTATTTTTCCACGGGAATATCTAGTCGAATTACCCTCTTCACAACTGGAGTGGCGGGTGTTCCTATGGCAGCGTGCCAGTTCAACGCAGAGGGCTGAAATGGATCCATTTTCTGAAGGAGCTTATCTTCCTGATGCAGTAACATTAAGTGTAAATTTCCTTCTGAAAAATTAACTCAAAACCCTTCCCACATTAAGGCCAAATTTTTGATACATGCAAGTGAGATTAAACTGTGTCGTATCATGCATGACTTACAATCAATTAGTTAGGGTGTCTATACTTCAATATAATATCGTTGTGCTTCATATTGGCACATGCACGCGCACACACACACACACACACATATATAATGATTCAAATCAAAATCCAGATGGGGTAAGTGCAACTATTTAAACCTAAGATTGAAAAAATAATAGTACTTTTTATCAATGGATGCCACAAATTTTCATCTTGCGGCTGCATGTGAGTGGAATGTACAAAAAACGAACTAAGATTGTGAAGAAAAACAAAAAAAAAACAGATGACTAAAACTTCTGAGACGGGGGAACTGAAGAAAGTCAGCCACCTTAAAGTTGACATGGAAAAAATCTCTATAAGTACATAAACGACATAAATAAAAAAAATGTAATCCAAGCAAAAATAAGAAATGTTCCTATTCTCAGATCTTCATTGTGCTCACGGGCCATGTAAAAGCGAATTATTTGTTAACAGCGTACACTGCAGTACCATGAAAATCATTGAATGACTGGTTCATTAAAAGATTAAGATCAAGTCTAACACGCAAGATGCGCTTTTCTTCAAAACCGGGAGGTCAAGATTTGCATACAAGACCTCTGGTTTGGTCTCGACCACCTCATACATATGTTTCAAATAACAAAAATGCATGATTTTACATCTAGTTATTACACAAAACTACTTTTCAGGGGCAAATAGATAAATGTCGGAGGAATTATAAACATCTATCCTTACTTACATCAGTTTGCATAACAGTCCATTCCATTGTGTTGATTCGCCCTCCATTCGGCTGTTCACTGAATGACCTGAAATGATAGTCATTACCTGCTCTTTCAAGTTCTGACACTTTATGGTAAAGTCCTGATGCTCTCACGATCTCTGCCAAAGTATAAAAGTTAGGTACTATATTGTACAAGAGAGCATAAAAATGATGTAAAATTACACATGCCAGTTATTTGCAACAAGTTGCAGTATGTGAAATATTCATTTACAAAACCGGAATATTTAACCTACAACTTAGTGTGCTTCAATGAGAATACAAGGGTTTCGACAGAAAATAAGATTACAGCCAGTCGAGACATGAAGAATCATTATAGTCAACGATTGGTGCAAAGAACACTAGTATAAATTAAAATTGAAAAAAAAAAGAGATGAAGGTTATGAAATAGTTATCACCCATCGAAGTGGCATTAATGCCAACAACCTTGACTCAGAAGTCTGCTACAAAGTGGTAGAATCTGAGCGAATGATCCGAGTTTTTGTCTCTCCTCAAATAGTTCTGCTAAATATCTGTCAGCAGCAAAGAAACCAAATCATACTATTGGAGAACCACCTTAATAAAAAAAAGTTACAATTAGAATTCGAAAATCCACGGGAACGCTTCACCTTTTACACATATGTCACAAGAAAGCATACGCCAACATTTATTATCGTTTTAACACGTCGGTATGAGGTTATTACAGTTTTAAATCCTTCATCTTTGATAAAGCAAAGGCTAAAGTGTTCTTAGTAAAATTGAATCCTATTGTTTATATACAACATATCTCAGCTCAACAAAACTCAATTCAGAATTTGCTTGGAACCTTCAACGATTACAAAAAAAAAAAAAAAAAAAAAAACCCGTAGCTTTACGAAGAAAATAAATGGCATGAACATGATTGCTCCCTTATAAAATTAATTCCTGAAGTTCCCAAATATCTCAGATTCATCTCAGCGTTAGTACAGTGAGCAAGAGGAAAGCTTCGGTGAAATATCTTAGCATTGAAGATTTTTCAGCAAATCAATTCCATCAAATCAGCATCAACAAAAGATTCAATTAACTAACCCAAGGGAAGCCAATCCAACTCAGAAAAGCCACCGACTGTGAGTTCAAACAGTCAGCGAGCAACTTCGATTCAAACTCAAAACACTCTTTGGACACCACAATACAAATCAAACTCCCGAACGCGCCAATTCATATCATACGACTGATAGCCAATAACTCGTATTTCATAGAACCAGAACAAATTGACAAGAAACAGAGGAATCAAACCAATCATTATGTAAAGTTCCGAGGCTTGCCTTTCACGATCCGTCAGAGAAGCAGACCTCCGGAGCGAGCCGTGAACTCCCGCAGGAGCATACTGGAAGTAATTACCGGGAGAGATTCTGGCCTCCATACACGCCAACACCACCACCACTGCACCTGCAACTGCAACTGCGAGCAAGCAAGCAGTTGGATTGCACGACAATCTGTAAGTCGGGTGCAGATAAAAATGAAGAAATTTGAAGGGTTAGTGGCGTGTGAGATGGAGGCGGAGGGCGAGGATGTGGGTGTGGTAGATGGGGAAGAGGAATATAGGGGGGAAGATTCCCCCTCGGGGGCCGGGTTGGACAGTGCCAGTGGTGAAGGTGAAGAAGGAACCCAAGGGACACAGAAAATGACTGCAAGCGAAGGGGTGAAAACTGAAACACGCCCACCAACGGAACGGAACGGAACAAAACGGAACCCACTTTCGCACGTGCTCAATTGAATATTATATACTTATATACTAGCCTGAAAAAAAAAAAACAAAAAAAAAATTCCCAAATTTTGGACTCTGTTTTTCCAAAAAATTTTTTTTTTTTTCACAAAATATTCTATCAAATATTATTTTTATATCAAATTCAAATTATTTTTTTTTCAAACTCATAGAAACACACCCTAAATAAATACATCTGATTAGGGTTGACAGGGGTGGCAAAGAAAAATAGAATCGAATCGTCAGACTGCTGAATCAAATTGAATCGAAATGAATTTTTTTATTAATCCAGTAAATTCAATTCGAATATAAATACTGTATATATGATATTTGTTTGGTTCTGTTCGTTTTGGTTTTTGATATTTTTTCGATTCGGTTAACTGAATCGAATATATTTATATATTTATATTATTATATTTTAAAATTTATATTAATAATTATATTCGGTTCGGTTACGGTTCGATTTCGGTTCGGATATTTGAAATATTTTGATTTAATTATAATTTTAACTATTTTTAATATATTAATTTTTAATTTCGGTTCGATTTGAATTATTTGTGTACGACTGTAAAATTATTTTAAAATGACTTACGGAATTTTAACTTTCTTTGGACAAGTTTGTTTAATTTGTAAAATTTTTAATTTTAAATAAACAAACGACTCAATTTCGTATTAGTCAAATTGAGATTGAGCAGGTTGAGTTCAAATCAGATCCTCTGACCTGTTTAGAAAATTATTAAACGGATTAACATATCATTTTCGAATCAGTCAGATTTGAACGGATCGATCGTGTTGAGTCTTTTAACCTATTTAATAAAGTGGTTGATTTCAAAATTCATGAGTAATTTGATAGTTAATAAATATGTTTTGTGAAAGGTGAATAAATTATTTTTTTCTAGTTAAAAGAAAATTTAATGTATAGTATAAAGAATATTTTGTTTACATGATTTACTTGTAACAAGCAACTATTGTATTTTATCTGTACCATAATAAAGTATCAATTTTTTTATTTTAGTTCGTCTTGTAACAAAGTATCAATTTTCTTTTTTATAACTGTACTATTTACCTAATATTATAAATACCCTTACAATTTACAATATATTACACAAATGTCATTGCCTTTATATTACACATACTAACAAAGTTATTTTAGTCACTTCTATTTTATTTCTACTATATCCCAATATAATACTAATATACCTAAAACTAGGCGTAAAAAGTAATTGGATACTTATTAATGGGACGGAGGGAGTAATAACAATGAAAAAGACATATACGCATGTGATGCGATTGTAGTGAACAAAGAAAAAAAAAAGTATAAATATGGTCTTACTATGGATGATTTTGTTGTTTTAAATAAAAAATAAATTTATTTAATAGATTTATACAAATAGAAAATTAGTCTACTTAAAAAAATTACTATTTTTATCTGTCTTAAAAGATTACATATTTATTTTTTTTAATGTTAATATTTGAATATTTATTATTATATAAAACGTAATACGAATAAAAAAAATTATAAAAATATTTTCTTTGACCATATATTGTAATAATTGTTACACATAAATATAAATAACATACATATCTTAGAAAAGGAAAACATGTTAAATATTTGAGTTATCATTACCTCGTGGAGTCTTGGGTCTATTGGCACCTTAACGAATGGAACTACGTGGCGGCTTGGGGGTCACCCGCCCTCCCCAACCCCTAAAAATATATATATTTTTTTTAAGTTTAAAAATATTAAAATCATGTATTTTTAATAATTCTCTTCCCCTATTTTTTAAGTTTTTATTTTTATATAAAAAATAATAAATTTTATATAGTTTTATTAATTTATTTTTCAATATTCAATATTTTTTAGTTAAAAATAATAAAATTTATATAGTTATATTAAATTGTTTAGTTTCAAGCACATTAATTTTGTCTGATTTATTTTTTTTTTCTTTTTTATCCCGTTGTACCAAAGCAAATTAAAAAAAAAAAAAAAAAAAAAAAAAAAGACATCAAATTGATAAAAGAATCCACATTTTACCCTTCCATTTTCAAAATTTGGAAGCTAGTTCCGCCACTATGCATCTTCAATCTGTCATTGGTCATTGGCCCAGTGAATATTTTAAGGATGTACTTTAGGGAGACGTTAATGAAAGAGTTGTTTGTAGTAAATGAACTTGAATCCGTATCGGTCATCCCAAGCATTATTAAATAACATCAGTAAAAATGTACAAGATACCCTATATTTTATTTATTGCGTAAAACCTTCTGGTGTTAATATATAGTTTGCACGAACACTCTCCTTATTCAAAACTGATGTTTAGTTCTAAATAAATACCTAAATTACGTACGTTTATACAAATAAAAAATATAAAATATCTTAAATAATTTTTTTAATAAAATAAATAAATACATAATTGCTTAATCCTTTATTTTATAGTTTTTTTTAGATAAATTGTTATTTGATTTTTACAAAAATTATAAAAATAAATAATTGATCAATTATGTATTTTTATTTATTTTATTCAAAAAAATTATTTAAGATATTTTACTTTTTTTATTTGTATAAAACTTGCATAATTTAAGTTTTTTTTAGAATCAAACATCATTTTTTAACAATAAAGGTGTTTCGGAGTTTTACGTAATAAATAAAAATATGAAGTATTTTACATTTTTTTTACTAAAACACAAGAAAATGTTATATAATTTATCTTTTTTTTATTATGAATCTAAGAATAATGTGTGGCTTAGATAACATACTGAAGATATATCATATTGTAGCAAAAAAAAAAACAACACAAATAATAATTCTCATGTTAACTAGTGGTTGATTGAACATCAAGGGAAAATTAAAGTTAAAATCACAAAATTGAATTGACAATAGCTAAATATAAAATTACACTAAGAAAAATAAATGCAAAAAAAAAAAAAAAAAGTAATGATGAAAAATGAATTAATAATAAACTTTATCTTATATGAATGTTATCCATAAGTGTTGTTGATGACACATAGAATAATAATATTTTATTAATTATTAAAAAATTGAACTCACGATTAAAGTATAAAAATAATCATTTTAACTAAATGCAAAATATAAAGCGATTCATACTAAATACGCGATTTTTATCACGAATGTTGTCAATCAGTGGTACAAATTGTTAACATCAATATTCTATTTATAAGCGTTGATAGAACTTCTAAAAGGCCGACAATTATTGACAACTAACATCCAATTATAAATTAAATTATAGTCATACTTTTTAAAAGTTGCAAATATCAAAGATACTCAAACGTAGTATAAGGTGCATTTGGTACGACAAAAATTGAGATAGAAGAATAGAAACTAATATTATGGTCAGCGGAATAAAGGAGGAGTTTTCTTTCTTTTTTTTTTTTTTTTTCGAAAATCCGATATACCGATATATCGAATGCTAAATAACGAAATTATTTTAACATATACTGAAATATCAAATTATATATTGTTACCGCTAAAAAAATTCAATATGATATTAGATCATACCGAAAATTCTAATATACTAAAATTTCAATATATTTGATAATAAATACAAAATTTTAGTACAAAAAAAACATTTTGTATACTAAAATTTTAATACTCCCTCCCTCCCATAACTAAATATCCATTTACTTTTTGCACGTAGTTTTAGAAATATTATTATTATATTTAGATATAGTATGAATAAAATAGAAATGACTAAAATAACCTTATTAGTATGTGTGATATAAAAGTAACGACATTTGTGTAATATATTGTAAGTTGTAAGGGTATTTGTAATATTAGGTAAATAGTACCGTTGCTAAAATGGATACTTTGTTATGAGATGGAGAGAGTATATATTTTAAAAAATATAAATTATACAAAAAGTTAAATGGTGGGATGGGGCCTTAGACTCGACAAGGCAAGTGAAGGAGTCGGGGTTTGATCTCATGACCAATTCACTCTCCACACCACCATGTCATTTATTACGGGACGATGTATTTTTAATATTATGTATAAAGAATCGTGTTAGTAACATTTTATGTTGATTTTTGGTGAGTGATTGCAATATACTTCCTCTGTCACTTAACAAAGTATTCAATTTGTTTTTTTTTTTTTTATCAATGTATTTAATATTAAAAATATTTTTACATATTAAAAATATATTTACATTTGTTTAATATTTCATACAAATGTCATTGCATTCATATTATACAACACTAAAGATATTTTTTATTTTTTTTCTCTTAATATTTAAAGTTTCACACAAAAAAATAAATAAATACTCAGTTAAAAAAAATGTAGACAATAGATTTATTATATTAATATTATATATCATATTTTTTTTATAATATTTATAAAGAATTTATACCATTATAAAAATATTAAGTGAACAAACTCAATATACTAAATTCAACTTTCAATTAAAAAAAAAAAAAAACATTCGTTATGTACAAAATAATAATTTATTTATTTGATAATTAAGTAATTATATCCAGTTTAATATTTGAGTTCATTTTTATAAAATTTCAACTTCTAAATTATTTTCCTTGTCAATCTCTATCTATATAATTTTTTATTTAACTCCCTATTTATTCCACATAACTCCATATTTGTAATTATTACACATTCATACCCATCAAATTCTCATTTTAACCTCTAAATAACTTTTTAATCATATTTTTATTCCCAAATATAATCCAAAATCCTTGTAAGAATAATATTTATTTTATTATTTGCTTATCTATGGAACAATCTATTTATTTTTTATGATATTAATTTTTGTATATAGAATCGATCTACTTATGGTTCAATAATATTTGCAATTTTTTTTTTACAAGATATTATTAGCTTTTATAATAGAGAAATATTTGTTCAAATAAAAATTCATTATTTTCAACTTATTTATTATATTACTCATACTTATATTTATTTGAGATCAATAATTTTCTTATATAATTATAGTATAAGAGTTAGGTGTACTTTTATATTTATTTATTTTTATATATTATTTTTTTGTTGTAATTTTTTATTTTATATTTAAATGAATAAAAATAATAGAATTAAAATATAAAAATTGGTGGTTTGTAGAGCATATAAAAAAAATACTCGATATGTCAATAACAAAGGATTTATTTTTTCATTTTAGTCCGTCTCAAAACAAAATATCTATTTCCTTTTTTAGTAACTGTATTTCTATCAAACATTACAAATATCTTTACAACTTACAATATATTACACAAATACCGCTACCTTTATATCACATACTAATAAGGTTATTTTAGTCATTTCTACTTTATTCATATTATATTCCAATATAATACTAATATTTCTAAAATTACGTGCAAAAAATAAATGAATACTTAGTTTCGGGACGGAAGAAGTATTAAATAAATTAAATGAGAGTACTATGAGATTTTTATATACAGGGAGTAAAGAGATAAACTGAATATAGAAGGAGTAAATAGAAAAATAATACTACCTCCGTCCACAAACTAACGTCCTACTTTTCTATTTGGAATGTCCAACAATTATTATTCTATTTCTATTTTTATACACAAAATTTACTCTTTTACCCTTACTTTATTTACTCTTTTATTTTATATACAAAAAATTAAGAACAAATTTGTTATTTTATAACAACCCTAATTGCATAAAAATGTGTGTAAATATCAAATAAGATATTAGAAAATAGACGAAGGGAGTATGAAATTAGAAAGTTCCATATAAGTTGTCCTTAATAGTTCATTTAAATTTTTTAAGAAAAAAGAAAGAAAAGAAAAACTAACCAAACAGGCCTCTATGTACACCATCAAGTCCGAGCCCGGGTGCAAAGCGGCAAGCCAGCCATGGCAAATGGCAATGAGGAGATCAGATGGTTCAAATCATAAATAGATTAGGCCGTACAGTTATGGAGGAGGAAAGAAATACTACGATGGAACAACGCGTTGGCGTCACGCACACCGCCATATACATTTGTGTATCCATTCACTCTAGATCGTCTCTATATTTTCTCTCTCCTCCAGTTTCTCTCTCATTACCATTCCCAATTCTCCCTTTTGTTTCTTGACTTCCCCCCCTTTCGTATCACCATCTTTCCCTGCATGGAAATCCGATTTCAATAGCCAGGGAAACTCGAGATATTTTCATTACTGGAGGTTTATTTTAACGTGCTCAAGATGTGATTTCTTGTTCTGGGGGTGTTTCGTGCTCGAATTTCAAGTCAATTTTGGAGTAATCTTGCTGTCGGTTTTGTTTTGAGTGTAGAACAAGGCGTTAGGGTTTGGGTTTCACATGAAGGGTCCGTTGGATCGGACGAAAGTGGTGGTGCGGCACTTGCCGCCAACGATTTCTCAGTCAAACTTCGCTGAGCATGTCGACTCTCGTTTCGCCGGCCGGTACACTTGGCTCGATTTTCGCCCTGGAAAATCTAGGTTAGGTTTTAGTTTAATTTGAATCCAATTGAAGGTATCTCTTTATCTACTCGGTGCGTTTTAAATTTATTTTTAAATTACGTATGCATAATGTTTGCGTTCGTTCTTGCGACGTGTCTAGATGAGTTGGGAATTTAATTGCTCAGTTAGGGTTTGGGTGGGCATTCAATTGATTAGGTTTTCTGCAAATTTTATCTAGGGCAGGTGAAGATTTAGGGTTTTAAACGGCTCTCCTGGTCTGAGGCCGTGTGTTTCTATTTTATATTGTTTTGCCCTTGCAAATGCTTTCACGGTGTAGAAGATACAGTTGCAGGAGTACTGGATGGATTATCTCCGAAACTCTTTATTTTGAAAACACAGAACATGCATTTATTTTCACACTAATCAGAAATTTGCTTTGTTACCCAGTTTCATGGGAGTGGATTGGCCATCATTTAAGATAATATCTATTATAATGAGTTTATGGCAATTCTTTGTTTTGTTTTGATGGTATCCTGTTTCTTGGAGATATGATCTCAAGATTGTGGGGGGGAGTTTAGATTTGTTTTGTTCGTATAATAGATTTTCTGGTTCTCCAACTTAATAGCAGAACATTGTGGGTCCTATGGGAATCCTGATTTTAAATGGCATGACATATGGCGTTGATGCATTGCTATTATAGAGATTCACTGTTGGAAACGTGCACTGCCTTTTTGTCGGTTGCATCTAGCTTGCTGATACTTCTTGAGCATGAAATTGTAGTCAGGAATGTCTGTTGGAAGTGGATCATGCTGATGTTTGCATTCGAGTTCCATGCCAGTTTTGACATTGAATGCAATTTTGTGACTGTTGACAGTGGGAAAGGTTTCTCTCTTTTATGGGTTGGGAACAAAAAACCGTTTTAAATTCGGGATTTTAATATTACTTACGTCATACGACAAGGTTTTCCACAGATCTATCTTACATTTGGCTGCTAATTCTTGGCACTGATCATGTGGGACCCTTGAATTGATACGATACACATTAACATTTTTATGGTACCTTATAAGAGCTCGGCTTCTTTCTGGTGTGTTCTCAAACTATCTATATGACGTGTATCAATTACTACCACTATCCCAAGTCTTTTGCCATTCTTTCTAATTTGGGATGTCTACAATTTTTTGCAATTTTTTTGTTCACTTAGTTTTTACTCTTTCACATATATATATTCTACAAATTTAAAATATTCCAAAGAACTGTGAATGCAAAATTTACAAAAAATTATTAAAATGATACCACCTAGAAAATTGTGCCAAACGTAAAACAGTGATCGCAATAAGTTGAAGGGAGTAATATATAGGGGATTATGCTGCGTTGCGAGTTCTTGGCTGTCTTTTTTTTTTTTTTTGAGTGTTTGCTGTTTAATAAATTGGCTATTTATTAGAATGCTGTTTTTCTGTTTAATATTTTAATGATTGACTTATCGGTAACGCATTGAGGATTGATATCATTAACTATAAATTAGCACCTTCAAGTCTTCCTTCATTCTAGATGAGGGAGAATTCCTTAATTATTTATGTTTCCTGTATTTGATTAGTTTACAAGCTTGTGCATTGTGTCTATGCTTAAAGGGTACAAACAACGTGATGAATTATGCGTGTTAAATGGAAAAAGGAAGTTTATTTTTAATGTCACATGTAGACCTGCTTCAATTTTCTTGTTTTGGAATGTTAAGAGCCAGTTATTGGAAGTATCTGGATTTTTAATGACTAGCGTTATATATTTGGTTCAATTTTTCTTCAGTGCTAGATTAATGCATATCAGGATGTTATTTGACATTTTGTTTTCAACCATTTGCTAACCAGAGGGAGGATGTACTATATTGTATTTTGTGTAACCATGATAACTGATTTGTGAGGTTTTTACCTTCTGCACTCTTGAATTGTTTAACTTGCCTATGCAGCCTGAAGCATCTGATACATTCAAGAGCTTATATCAACTTTCATAAGCCAGAGGATGTACTTGAGTTTGCGGAGTTTTTTAATGGCCATGTTTTCGTCAATGAGAAAGGTAATGTTGAAGAGCTTCCTTGAAGGTGGCCCGGAAGGTGACCTGATGAAAGTTCATAGCAAAAGCATGCTATTACTTGTCTTATCTGGGGTTTACTAACTTTCGTCCATTATTTACCAATTACGGCAATTATGATGTTTTCTTTATAGCGTAAGTGAACTTTTAAGGGAGAGATCTTCATATATTATTCATATCCACATTCTAATTCTCCTCTAATTTAGTTCACTATCACAAGAACACTAATTTTCACTTGAATAGTTTGAAAATAATATTACTCGGTACTTGCCGTTGCTTAAGGTATATGTCATTTATGATTTTTTAAATCTTCCTTAAATAATTGGGTTCTTGATGCTATTATATCTTTGCCAGGGGTTCAATTTAAGGCGATTGTTGAGTATGCTCCTTCACAACGAGTTCCAAAGCAATGGTCTAAGAAGGATGGTCGTGAAGGCACTATTTTGAAAGGTAATCGCTTTCTGTTATTGCACATGGCATAGGCGGCATCATGTTGTGTCTTCTACACTTAATTTGTTGAATAACATGTAGATCCTGAATATTTGGAGTTCCTTGACTTTCTTGCAAAGCCTGTTGAGAATCTTCCCAGCGCAGAGATACAGCTGGAGAGAAAAGAAGCAGCAGAACGAGCAGGCAAGTCATAAATAATTTTAGAGCTCACTCATTCTTTGAGATTTTTCGGTTTAGTTTTTAGTTGCATTAAGTTACTTCCTTGTAGGTGCTTCAAAGGACGTTCCAATAGTTACACCTTTAATGGATTATGTCCGTCAGAAGAGAGCTGCAAAGGTTGGGTCTCGGGTAGGAAATCTTGGCACCTTTATACTGTCATGACCTTTGAATTCACTTTTCAGTGTTTGTCAGGACCTTTGAATTGTGACTAGAGAAGAATTAGATTATTTCCCTCTCGAATCATTTTCTAGCATAAAATTTCTAAATTTTATATGTTGGTTCTTGGTTGCTGTTCTTTATATTAATTTAGTCGATTATGTACTTTTCTTGTCGAGAATAGGTTGTCTGTTCTCTGCATTCGGTATACTAATTAATAAAGCATGTTGTAGATGCGGCCAAATACTGTCTTCAGTATAAGTCTTCTCTGGCCTTTTTGGGACACTTGCAATTTAGCGGAACTAATCCTCAATATTTGTTATCAACCATGGCATTGATATGGGGTACAATTCACCTATTTTTCTTTATAGGTTCATATTTAGTTGCTTTGGAGGTAAGTGGTAGCTGGTGTACACTTTTATACTCTTTGCAGTTTGCATGTATAAGTTCGATTCTAATGTAGTTTAGCTTTGGTATCACACCCTTGAAGTAATACGTTAAATACTATCTAAATGCATGCTACCCTTGATAGAGACCCATGTTAAACGGAAAGTCAACAAGAAGAGTTGGTGCTATTTCATCCAGGAGTCCTGCCTCAGGTTCTTCGAGAAAAGGCTCAGAAAAGAAGAAAACTTCTACCAAGGTAATTATTTTTCTTTTCATAGAGATGACTTCTTATTGTTGGAAATATTTGAGTGATTTGGATGGCAGCAGTGTGAGTTCGATTTCAGAAATGAAGATAGGCTCTGGATCTCCATCCTTCTGAAGCTTTATATTTTAATTTCTTGTCTGGTTTCTTTACTTTTAAATCATTGAGTTAGGAGAAAAGAGATAAAGTGGTTATAGCTAGAAGGATGAGTACTTCACAAACCTGAGACAATTCTTGGAAGATGAGGCCAAGACATAGGGATGTTTACAGAACTAGATTAAATTATTAAATGCTCCCTTCTTTTTCTGAAAGTGTGCGCTGATATCAGATTTGTTGGATGTGCTTATGTCTTACTTTTCTGATTCACTATATAAGATTTTTGGTGACAGGTCCTGGCATGCTATATGTTCTTTATAATGTCATTCTATTATATTGGATCCAATTGTTCTACCTTAGCATCTTATTTTCATGTCTTGAAGTTGGGGAGTAGCCACTTTAATATGTATTTGATTTACCAACTACTAAATTTATTCTTGATGGGCTCCCTTTAGACCATTTTGGTTGATATAGGGCAGACATCTTTTGGAGGTTTCTGTTTAGATTTGTTGTTGGTGGTGATTTGTTGTTGAATCTGTCACTGGATAGTTTCAAAGGCTACTGCTTATATTTCCACAATTTTGTGGCTGCAGTGAAAACTCTATTTATTAACGTACTGAATGTGATGGTTAATTTATCACTACATATTTACCAGTATGTCATGAGGGACAACTCCAAGGGTGGTAACAAGGACAAGCCAAATTATTTGCTGGTTTCTAAACAAGTTGATCAGCAGCTCACAGATAAATCTCCCAATTTAATTGTTACTGGAGTTGATGCCTTAGAGGCAGAAAGTGGTAAGTTTTATTGGAGGATTATGCATATTGTTTGATGATAAGCTTTCTAGATGGAAAACTTGAAGATATTTAATCCAATCTTCTCAAGAATTGATATTACTAGAGCTAAAGGTTCTTTAGCTGATTCTTATAATGTGTATATACTATATCTATGGGTGTGCTCTTGTTGTTTTCATACTTATTGACAGAAGTGGTATGAATACTTGGTAAAAGTTGCCTAATGGCTACTAACTGTGTAGCAGCCATTGGCTTGATCTGCAGTTTTTAAGATTTGTTCCAACCATTATCAATATGGAAACTTTAAGGGTGTGTTTACTTATAAGATTTTGGTTTTTGGTTTTGGTTTTGAATAGTAAAATTTTGAATTGAAATAGTGGTTTGATGTGATATAAATATGTATTGATGTGATGTTTTGAATGTAAAATTTAATTTTAGTGTAATATAATAAATAAAAAATAGGTGTTTGATTTGATGTTTTTTTTTTGGGGGGGGGGGGGGGAAGTTGAAATAGTTAAACGGAAAAACAAATCTCACAAGTAAACACACCCTTAAAGTTTCCATATTGGACGGAGGGAGTATTAAACAACTATTTCAACCTCAAAAAAAAAAAGAAAAAAATCGCAAACCCCATGCTTTGTCAACTTTGTTGTGCATTATATATATTCAAATCATTTCAAGGCTTATTAGTTTCTTTCTAGTTTATATCTAATGCTTTGTAAACTTCTGTAGGAGGCTCAGGGCCATCTGGAATGGGAAAGAAAAAAATCCTGCTTGTCAAAGGAAAAGAGAAGGAAATTTCTAGTGTAAGTCAGCTTGTTCTGTTACTTTAACGAGTGATCTACTAGAATGATTTGAGAAGACATTTTTGAATTATATGTGCATCACAACTCTCAGTATATTAGTCTTCTTTTCTTTTTTGTCCAGTGGGCATTGATGGCATAGTCTTTCTAGCATGTGGCGGTGACTCTCATAAGTGTTTTTAATGGAAATTTCTCTCCTACCTTTATCATGAATTATTAAAGGCTCTTGCAAACTTGCATACAGTTGGAACATTCTTGGAAGATGAAGTTCATATGTGATTCTGGATATAGTTCCTGTATGTCATCTATGTCGTTGCAAATTGTCACTGTATGTGATTTATACTAATTATCTGACCCCTCCGCTACCCATTTTGCTTACATTAGACAATGTCTAATGGAAATGTTGTTTGTAAAAAACACAAGCAATATAGATGGTTATACGTTCACATCTATACGGTAAGAGTTTAAGCGAAAACCAAGGAAATTCTGTCTGATGGAGCAAAGATTGTTATTTTGATCCTTCTGTTGATTATGCGATGAGTTTGTAGGTAGTATAACATAATATTTGGGCGATCTGCCTCTGAAGTATGATGTTTATATCTATTGTTTAATATACATGTTCAAAATTTAAGAACAAAAAGAAACTCTTGTTTATGCGTTATTTTCAGACAAATTACAATGAATGCTAATTTTTATTTCTTTTGTAGATTTCTGATGCTGCTTCACTGCAGACGAATGTGTCTAGTACTGCCAAGAGTTCACATAGCCCTGCTGCATCAGGACAATACCAGCAGCGAGAAACTGGTGGAAGGATCATCAGAAGTATTCTGAATAGGGATACTAGTCAAAATCAAGCACCACCTGGATGCCAGCCAGGGATGCGAAACCAGATATCAAATCAGGACAGGGACAAAAAGCTGCCCCGACCCCCTGGTATACATTCATCTCCTAGGGAAAAACCTGGGATTCCCGAGGAAAAGATGGGAAATGAAGATTCGAAAGCAGTCCATTCTGAGAAGCCAGAAAGACGAATGAGGAATAAGGATAGGCCTGATTGTGGTGTATGGACCCCTCTTCGTCGATCAGATGGATCACATTCTAGTAATGATTCATTACCATCTACTTTCCCGACCTCCCTAGTCATAGATCAGTCTGAAGGTTAGATACCAGATAATGAATTGTCTTAGGGTTTTATTCGATAAGCTTGCATATTAATGGAAATTCCATCTTCTGGCCTTCTTTTCGAAGTTAATGAGTTGGTTAATTGCTAATTCCATGTTGTACCTTATCCCTAGATGTGAAAACTGAGATCCCGGTTGGCCGAGGTGGTGACTACCGTCATATGAGAGGTCGTGGAGGTCGTTATTCTGCTGACAATGGTAAGTTTGCCTTGAGAAAATGAAGTTAGAAGCTAATTGTACTGTGTACACTTTTCAATAACAATGTTGTGACTTGCTATAGGTTCTTATCGGCATGGGGGCCGCCGCTCTTCATCCTATAATATAAAGGATACTGATGGCTCTTCAGTTGGAGAGGGGGGGAAACCCTCAAAACGTGGTGCTCCTTCTGGCTATGGCTCCCATGAGGTAACCTTCATAATGAGACCACCAAACAATAATGCTGTGTACTGTTAGATGGTACCTTACTTGCATCCTCTACATTTGCAGAAACAAGTGTGGGTCCAAAAGTCCACCTCTGGTTCGTGAACTGATGTATATGGTAAGCCTGAATATGTTTTGCTTGTTCTTCCTTCTCAATCCGGCTGGAATATAAGTCTCGCCGCTTTAATTCAGATAAAATATCATCAGATGCTTTTAGGATCTACATATATCCTCTGAATCTGAACCAATTAATGTTTGTGAGGATATGGATAGTCTGAATTATTATCCCCCCGTAGGTCCCCCCACCGCAGGTCACTGGTGTCGGTTATAGCCTGGAACTGGCCCATAAAGTAGGCACCTGTAACTGGCTTGAGTGACTGCAAGGTTTCTCAGTCCACATCCATTATTGAGTTTCATTAATCCAAATGCTGAAAAAATGTGACTACCGCACGTAACATTCATTGGCATTTTGCTCAGAGCTTTAAACTGTTTAATTCGAGTTGACATGCTCAAGTTTTGCAAAGTATTATGCTGATCGTCTGTCCTTTCCTGCTAGATATATATAGTTTAGACTTTGTCTTGGTTCTTTTCCTCTAAAGTAAATCCATTTTGGTGGTTTTGCAGGGATGCCTGGTGACCGTTGAATCATAAAACTGAACTGACCGCAGCTGGAATTCTCTGTTGCTTTATAAGACTATATTGTGTGTGGAAGGGAAGATGGTTGGCGGAGACGAACAGTCCTGTACTAGTGCTTCAATATTATTTTGCAACGCCATGTGCCATACCAGTAGTAAGTCGAAAGAAAGAAAGTTATAGACGACACAAAGGAGGATTCAGTCGTTTAAAACCAACCAGTGTGGAGATCGATCACAGTGATACTCAACTCGCTCAGTAGCAGGACTGAGTCTCCCTCGACACCCGGTAATCCAACCAACCAATACCAATATCAACGACCATAGGTAAGGTAAGAAGATCGCCTTTCTTTTGCTGAAGAACTTTATGTATATACGCATCTGATCTGATTTGATCGGCGTGTACTGTAGCGTGACTTATACTATGTTCTAATGGCTTTGTGAATGTATGACCGCCTGCCTATGCTATATATATATATATATTTAAAGATCGATTAGGTCTGGACGGACTCGGCCGGCTCCGGCCGACCCGGCCCTTAACTGGTATGAGGCTTGACTGAGTGTTGTAGTGCAACTTGGAAATGCCAACAAGTTTTCTGTTACTTTTGTCCATGCCATAATCTCTCACCTTATTTGGCCTTTTGTCTAATGCTCTCTCATTTTTGTTTTGTGACTTCATCATCAATCTTTATTTATTTTTATTTTGCTTTCGTAATGTTAGTCAATAATACTTCAACCTGAAAAGTGCTTCTGGGTTTTTTTTTTTTTTTTTTTTTTTTTTTTTTTTACAGAAGTCAATACAAACAAATATACTAAAAATTTGAAGTAGAAGTAATTCAAACAGGCTTGAATAAGTTTTTGTTTTCGAGGTTTTTCACTCTCTATTCATTTTTTTTAAAAAAATATCAAATTAAAATTTAATTTTTATAATAGAAATTAAATGCTAACTTTTATATTAAAAAGTCATGACAATTTTTTTATTATTCGACTTGTATTGTTTTCAATGAAACTAAATTGTTTACTTCTGAATTATATTAAAATCCAATATAAATCTGAATTATTTAAAGGGATGATGAAATCTTATTTAATTTTAGGATGAACTTGTTCTTTTATGTTAAATATTAAGAATTGTGTTATAATATAAAAAATAATATTTTATTTTGAATTAATGTTTTTTTATGAATAGGCAAAGTATATATATTATATATATAATTATGTTAATATATGTATATTGCATTTTTAAAAAAAATAATATTATTCCTATTCTTATTATTCACTTACATTGTTACAAGTTGACCACTGTATTTATGGGACATTGATGTAACGATGATATGTATATATTTTTAATTATATTTTATATATTTATTATTTAAGAGTTTTAATATAACTATGATTATAATTGTTGTTTGATTTTTTCAATAAAACAAAATAAAATTCAAAAATACTATTGAATTTGAAAAAAAGAATTTATTTGTAGCATAAAGCTGTTAAATACATGAAAATAAAAAGTGACCTCCAAAATGAAATTTGCAATTAATTTTTTGCTTTTTCTGAAAATTGAAGATTTCATTTCAGAAAAGATCCAAATATTTAAATATTCTCTAAAGAAACGTTTTGGAACTGTCGTCTGTTCGATTACAGCAACCGCCATCAACTGTCCACTAATTTCTCCTCCATTGACACGTGTTTTAATTGTTTCACCAACCGCTCCCACCAGTTATAGAACCCGACTGACTCGACCGACCGCCTCTGGGCACCTTACCTCCTTAAATGGACGGCTGGTCCCGAACGACTACTCAACCGCCCAACATACTTTAAACAGACTGCAGGCCGACCGATTGCCTCGAAAAACCCCTTAGCCACCTGATCGGCCTAGAGACGGGCCCACATCTCCTCTTATTTTTGGCCACTTACCCTAATTATAAATTTCGTACGTAACAATAATAAAATATTAATAATATAATTTGTTTATAATATATTCTAATAATATAAAAAACAATAAGTTACATATATATTTAAATTGATTTGTTTGCCCAATAATAATTTTTGTGGCTATGAATACTACAATATATATATATACATTAACATGATATTATTTTTTATAATATCTACAAAGTCGATAAAGATTTAACATCTAACCTCAAGCATATTTAAATCTAACCTCAAGCATATTAAGAGAAGGCTCAACCGCTTGAGCTACACACATTCGGCATATCTAACTTACATATCTTATGGTTGTGTTCTTTTGTAAACAAATTAGAATTATTTTTATTATTTAGTTAATTTTTTCTTCCAAAAAATATAATAAAAAATATTTATTTTTTATTTTTATATTATCTTAAAAGATAATTTTAAATTCAAAATGAATAGTACACATATAAAAAAAATGAAATTAGAGAGAGAGATATGATCCATTTGTAAATTCATTGATTGATACAAATACACAAAAGAAATAGATATATTTTTATTTTTAAATTTCTATTTAAATATATAAGTGCATTTGGTACCGCAAATGAAATTGTAGAAAAATGATAACATATAAAGGAATAGTAAGGAAAAAAAATTAAATAAATAATAAGAATTAATTCTTTTATTTTCTAAAATAAAAAATTTGTGCTGAAAAATGTAAACATATATATATATATACATCGATGAGCCGATCTAGATTAAATTGTATATTACAAAGTAAAAGATAAAAGAATAAATTAATTTTTTTAAAAAAAAATGATAAATAAAAGAGAATTTAATGAAATAAAATTTTGTGAATAAATTCTGTCATATTGAATTAATAATTTTTTAATAATAATAATAATTTTGATATGAATTTGATGAGTTTGAAACAATATATTAAAGTTAAGTGGTAAAATAAAAAAATAAAAATAAACATTCACATTAAGTATACAAATTTTATTTCACTGCAAATGGAGGAGAAATGAAAATTAAAAAAAAAAAATTTATTTTTCTATTTTTATTTCTTTGACTCAAGCAAACAAGAAAAATAATGTCAGAGAAATGAAAATTATCTTGTTTTTTTAGTCAGATAATAAACTTGAGAAATCAATTATTTTTATTTATCTATTTTCATTTTTTTCAATATTGAGAAATGATGTTGCAATATATTTTTTTAAATTTTTTATTTTTATATTATTTAATTTTAATATTTTTTTAAAAAAAGTATATTCTTTTAATTTTACAAAAGTCAAATTTAATTTATTGTTAAAGTATTTAATTTTTACAATTTTTAAAGAAATTATAATAAAATATAATCTTAAAAAACATCGTATATAGTTTATAACTTTTAAAAAGAAAAATTAAAAAAATATTTTTCATGAATTTTAATTCGTTAACACTTTTTCTTTTATGTGATTAATCATTTATTATCGATTATATAACTGCATTTTTTTTTACATTTCTCAACAGAATTATCTTTTTTACCAGATAATTAATTTTCATTCTCTATTAATTTCATTTCTCTCAAATTTCATTATCTATTCTCATCTGTCACAATTTCATTCACTGTACTGTACCAAACGCCACCTAAATGTTGAGAGAAATTACGAGTGTGTTCTTTTTTTTTTTTTCAAAAAACACATTATTTTTTAAAATATTAATAATATTACATACAATTATTATTTTTATATTATTTACACAATTTCATATATCTCACATAAAAAATACTCCCTCCGTCTCAATACAATAGTCCTGTTTACTATTTTTGTCCATGTCAAAACAATAGTCTCATTTCCATAAATAACTATATCACTATAAAACTACCATTACTTTTTCATTATTATTACACAATTGCCACTACTTTTTACAGTAGTATACTCACAAAGGCAAAAAAAGTCATTTATCATTACATTTTACCAACTACCCATATAATATTAATATTCTTTAAATCTCATGTGCAACACAATAAAACTATACTTTTAAAAAATAAAGAGTATATATATATATATTCTTTTAAATTATTTTACAAAACAAATACAACATCCTATTATTAATAGAAAGCTCCGGAATTTAGAAAGCCCAAATTGATGAAAATTAGAAGACAATAGAAGATTCTACAAGAAAAAGAAAGCAACACCAATATCCATATGGAGTAATAATTGGAATCTAGTACATAGACCCAACATTTAATGTTAATAATGAAGCATTTATTGACATTTATTTATAGATAATAATAGTATAACATTTAAGGGGAAACTGTTTTATTAGTCCCGGACTCCGTCATCATTTTAGTCTAGTAAGTGGAGCCTGTCGCAAATTAGTCTCATAAGTGAAAAAAAAATTTCGCTGTTTTAGTCCTCCGGCGCCAGAGACGCCCGCGTGGCTCGCCGGAAGTGACGTGTGGATTTTTTTTTTTTTCATTTTTTTAATTTTTTTAAAACTTATTTTTCATTTATTTTTAATTTTATTTGCATTTTTTTATTTGGTCTAATTAAAAAAAATAAATAAATTAAAAATAAATGAAAAAAATAAATAAATCTACGTGTCCACCGGGTTTCGCTGACCTGACGGACACGTCACCTCCGGCGAGCCATGCGGGCATCTTTCGGCGCCAGAGGACTAAAACAGTAAAAAATTTTCACTTATAAGACTAGTTTGCGACATACTCCACTTACGAGACTAAAATGGTATGAGAGTCCTATAAACTAAAAAAAACAGTTTACCCAACATTTAATAATATTCAAGAATGAGAATCAGAGCATTAATTAAGATCAAGAATAAGGCATTTAACATTTAGCATTTAGCAATAGCTAATTACTTAAAATATGATAATTAGCAACAATTAAAGCCAGCAATTAATGTGGGAGTAAATAAACTCAGCTCCATAAAATTAAGGGGTGGGGAGTTATATATTGTTAGGAATAGCATACCGTATCGGACCGAAAATATCGTTCGATAACGATATCGTATCGAATTTTTCGGTATGACGAAAAATATATACCGATATTGTATCGAAAGTTTCAATATATCGAATTTTGGTATACCGAATTTTTCGGTACAGTATCGGTATATACCGTTTATACCAAAAATTTCAATTTCGGTACGATACCGATATATACCGCTTACACCGAAAATTTTGATTTCGGTAGACCGGTACATACCGATTATACCGAAAATATAATTTTAAATTTTAAAATAATTAATAAATTAATAAATATTACTATTCTCCACCATAAAAATATTATGAAAAAATTAATAAATTTTCAATAGTTTACAATTTTTTTGTTATGATTTAAGGAAAATTTAATAATTATTATTTATATTAATAATTAAATTATTTAATAAAAATATTATCGGTACGGTATTATACCGAACTCTCCGAAAATTCATACCGATACGGTACCGAAAACTTCGGTATGATATCCATACCATACCAAAATTTTCAATATTTTCGACACGATACGATATGATAAGCTGGTATTTCGGTATAGTTTGTAAATTTCTCCATCCCTATATATTGTAGTGTAATATATAATTTATTTATTTATTGAGTTGAAATCACACTATATTATCGTATATAAAATCATATAATTTGCTATTTATGTATTATATATATATATATTTTATTATTATGTTCTATTGGATATTTGTT